TCCCTGCTCATTCATGACAGGCTGCATGGATGGGCAGGGAGTTTTTGCCCAGAACAGAACCATACTCCCAATCCAAACTCTATGCTAAGTGTCAATAATTTGGATGATAATGGTCCTGACAGAACTCTTTTTAATTGTGATAGTGTTTCAGTCAATATTACATTCTCATTGTAAGGGATAACCCATGGCTAGCTGTGCATTACATTATATTCTTGCAAATGTGTAAATAAAGAAAACCTATTGCACGTTGCCTTTCCAGATGAATGTTAAACTCTCAGAACATGCAGAGATGGAGTGAACTCTGAGATGCTGAAAACACTGGATCATTAGTTGCTCGTATGTGCACTGAACACAGTGCTGTGCTTCACTGTGAAACACACAGCACATCAGACTACAGCCTTTGATTCATAATTGCACTATACTAGATTATCGTGCAGCCCTGTTTATTTAGATTTTACATTTGATATATAATTATTAGCTTTTCATCAACCTCCTGCAGTTCCCTCAAGACCTCTCATTTGGTAAACCATGATCTTGCATAATGACAGTGAGTTTTGCATGGGATAGCACATTCATATTTTCTTCAGAAATTGTAAAAATTTTATTTGATCATGCTGCTTTCGGATTTTCCTCAGAGTGAACGGCTTCAAGAAGCAGCAGGAGATCTTGAGACAGAAGCACGCCGAGTTCCTGGAGAGATACAAGATCCGCAGTAATGGAGAAGAGAAATAAAACAAGGAAAAGACCGATCTAGAAGAAGCTCTTCGCACAGGGTTATGGAGAGAGTGCAGGTTGTGGATGAATGTTGAAGAGTGAATTGTATTTTGCGTTCATAGTTTTTATCAAATTTTCTAGGGCCACAGTGTGTCAAATCCACAAACGCAGCAATATTTCAGCCCTTGTACTTTCACCCAACTCTGACAGATTAAGGTCACATGGGGTGCAAGGCAAATCAGGCTGATTATAGGCCAACATGGCTTCTCATGAGGTGTTTTAAACACCTGTACTCTTACTGTATTTCCTGCATTTGCAGGTGACATTGTAACTGCACCTGGAAAGGGTGTTATGGAAACATTGCATTCCTGATAAAGTAGTTCATCAAAACACTGAAAATGCTGTACATTGTGCACTTTGTTAAGCTCAATGTGTGTGTGTGTGTATGTGTGGGAGAGAGTTTCTCATGGAAGAATGTTATACAGATGGGCAGATCAGTGCTGTCCAGTGCGTTTTATTTCAGGTGCTGGTTATTTTCCAACAATTTTGAATGCAAAATCAAATAATCTTATCTTGAACAGGAAGTGAATGGATCTTTGGCAAGTAATGAGGAGTTTCTTTTACCCGTGTAATAGATCTAGGCTGCAAATCAAATGCATTTCCTATTATTTTATAATTATTTTACAGCAAGATTATATTAAACAAGACCCTTATTCTGGATCCAAACTCTTCTCAGACCCCTGTTGTCACAAGGCATAGATCCTAAAAATTAAGTCTTTTTAGATATCCAAGTCATTGCCCTTTTTTTGAAGAATGGAAAAGTATTTTAGGGTTTGACATTTAATGTAAATTCTGCATTAGACATTCACCAGAGCGCCTTCATCTTTATAAATCAAGTATTGATTTTGTGTGAAATCACTCTAATGCAAGCCTTAATGTCATTGGGTTTTGAAGTGATCAATAATTAAAAATGATATGGATCTCAGTTATGTAATGTTTTTCATCTGCATGCATTTTTGTGTTTCTATAGATTTTTTTGCAAACTTCTTCTCTGTTCTAATACACAACCATTCAAATGTTTGGGGTTGTTAAGATTTTTTAATGTTTTTGAAGGAAGTCTTTTATGCACACCAAGGCTGCATTTATATGATAAAAAATGCAGTTGTATCATGACAATGTTAATGTATTTGGTCTTGGTGGAATAGATCTGCTGCTGAACTGCTGCTGCTGTTGGTTATTGCTGTTGTTGTAGATTACTGCTGCAACGCAAGTATAGGAACTTGATACTGCCATTACATGCGCAGATATGGTGCTGTGAATATACTGCTGCTGCACAAGTAGCATATATAATAACCCGTAGCAGATCTGTACAGGTGGAGCTGGGGCAGGTGGAGGGTTTCAGAGGAACTCTGAAAGTGTGCTACGAAATGCTGTAGTGGATGCTAACCAGCCATTCAAATGTAAAGCAGCAAGCTTATTGGCTGTGTTTGCAACATGAACCAATCAGCTTGGGCCAGATAGTTTAATGCTGTGAATATCATCAGTTTGCATTAAGGAACCATAAGCCTGTGCCATCTAGAGTTTCATGACAGAACTTGGCATTAAAAACATTTTAATATTGTGAAATAATATTACAGTTTAAAGTAACTGTTTTGATTTGAATGCATTTTAAAATGTAATTTATTCTGTGATGTCAAAGCTGAATATTCAGCAGTCATTACTCCAGTGTTCAGAAACACAAAAAGAAATCATATGCTTATTTGCTGCTTAAAAAAAACTTAATTATTATTGTCAGTGTTGAAAATGTCAAATTTTTTGGAAACCGTGATACAATTTCTTCACAATCCTTTGATGAATAGAAAGTTGAAAAGAACAGCATTTATTTGAAATGGAATGTTTTGTAGCACTATAAATGTCTTTACTGTCACTTTTGATCAATTTAATGCATTCTTGCTGAATAAAAGTGTTCTTTTCTTTAAAAAAAATTAATTAATTAATGACCCCAAAATTTTGATCCATAGCATATACTTCCAAAAGCATTATTAGTGATATTTGCTAAGGTAAGCAACACTTTTGCTGTTGCATATTTGATTTGACTCGTTTTTCACCTTGTGGATGATAAAACAGCCTGAACCCCATAGACTTGCTTTGTTTCTTGTTTAGTGCCCTACTTTTTAACTCCTCTTAGCAAACAAAAACCTCTGCTACGTCATTCCCAATTTGCGATGTTCTTTCCTGACATTCTAGAATCCACTACAGCAGACAAATGTCACAGAAGCCTCACATTCCCAAAGCCTGTGCAGATGTTGACGATCTGGGCTGTTCTGTGACTCCACGGCCCAGGACTCAAGTCTGATGTGGTTTTCTGATATGGCATGGGCCCATATGCAGGTGCTCCTCTCTGCTCAGGTCTGATCTTGGAGATACCAGCTTTCAGGAATGAGTCAGGGACAGTTTTGATGATGTTTTTTTCTGCTTGTCTGTCTCTACAAGAGCACCTATCATTTTGACGTTTTAAAACAACTCTTTTAGGGCACCGTCTGGAGAGACTTCACAGAAATACTAACAACATCGCTCACAGTTCAGCAGTATCAATGGTGAAATCTTGTGACCTTGGCCCGGTTTGTTTATTTGGATGTGTGATGGCTGGACCTTCTCTCCGGACCACTCTGGGTTTTCCAGGCGGCCTTTAGATAGTTATACTCTGAAAGGACTTTTTGCGGTTGTCAGTTTTAATGCTGTAAGCAGTCCAGGAGAGATAGAACAGCCTGCATTCCTGCAGCCCACATGAATTTTTTTTTGCTCGGTATAACCCAAACATACCTGTGGGTGATGTTGAGGGTCTTCACATGCAAGCGAAGTCGAGTGGGTTCAGGTTGGTTAGTTTGTTAAATCAATCAGTTCAGATGCTGTTTAACCTAATTATTTCAAATTGACACCTGAAAATAGTCACAGTAGTGACTTCTAAGGATGTGTTGTTTATAATGTAGTCATTGCTGTTGATGCACAGAAAAGTTTTTATTAATTGCTTTAGAAAATGGTTTTAAAACAAATTTTCCTACATTTTATTTTATTTTATTTATTTCTTTGTAAACTCTGTCTATAGTTATGGCTATTGACCATTGTTAAGCATGGGTTTAAAACAGGTTTTCTGGTTTTAAAACATGTTTCTATTTAATTAGCAAGTAGCCTAAAAGTTTGTCATTTCTGCACAGCAATTGTAACCAGCATGTGAATTAAAAATTTAGCAAAAATGAGTCCTATCCACAAAATTGATTGGACAAAATTGTATCACATAAAACTAAGAATAGTTAAGTGAAAAATGTAAATTAAAATGTAAATTATCATTAACATATACACAAGTCTTTCAAAACCTATGTTACTTTCTTAAATTTTGTATTAACAAATGATTTAAAATGTCCAAGCTGCTCTTTTCCATACTTTGAAGCAAATGCCATGGCTGTCAAGATTGTCAGGGTAAAATGTTTTTCTAAAATTTCAGTCAAACATATGGTTTTTTTCACAATATTTAGATTTTTATTTAGAATTTTTTTTTTTTTTTTTTTTGGAACTTAAAATTTCCTGTTCCCATTTACTTTTATACTATGAAAACAGCTCACAAATTTGACTAATCTGTTATTTTTTTACAGTTTTACGTAAGAAAGATTTGAAACGACAAAGTAGATAAATGAGGGCATATGAACTGTCCCTTTAAGTTTCATTCTTCCGCTGGAAAATATAGTCCCGGTTGATAGTCTCTAAGGTGCTGCGCAGTGATATAGTAGCTATGTGAACAGGTGTTTCGCGTCATAGCCGTTTCTACACTAAAAATGTTTTAGAAACCTTATAATGTGATTCAAGTGGTAACTGATTTTATTTAAGTCATTATGAAATATGACGGAATCAACCGGACTACAACCGGCTAGACCTAGGCTAGGCCTACTCAGGTGAGACAGATTTAAAGTTTCGCTTTTAACGGTGTGCCGCCGCTATATAGCAATCAATCTACATCCAGAAACAAAACTAGCCGTTTTATAATTACCATCCCGTCTGTTTGTAAGCGATAAATTCTTTAATTTAAAATGCATGCTTCTTTTAAAAAAGAACCCAAAACACCCTGACAGGAAAAAGCACTCAATAATAGACAGGGGGAGTCGGTTAATAATTGTCCACCTCGCGATGCGCGAGCATTACACCTGTGCGTTTCTGCGCGCGAGCAAAGTCTGGGCGTCAGGAGGAAAAAAAGAAAAGTTCCACGAGCGCGACGGTGACGCGCGCCGAGAGTTGCGGAGCGTGCGAGTCCTGAAGGGCAAATAAGAGACTGGAGAAAACGACCTTACCCATATCAAGGTGTATTTCTCTCATTCTTATTTCATATAGGCGCATGTGCTTTGCATTGCGCATGTTGACAGTGTAGATTATTTATGTCGAACATTTTAATTATAAGATCTTGTGTCTGACAAGCAAAGCGTCATCATGGGTTTTGGTGGGCATGATTTCTCTGGTGACCTACAGTAGCACGGGATGCGCCGCACAAAGCGGGTCTGAAATGCCAGACGGGAGACACAGAGACCTTCAAGGAGGCTGTTAACATCGATTCTTGAGGATATATTTATTTGTTACCGGATATTTTTCTTTGGACCATAAGGACGTACTCTAGTGCCACCGGGAATTTTGCTACGAGGGAGCCGGTATAAATTAAATGCGCGGAATGCATGGAAAACTCTCCTGTAAAACAACATATATCGGGATTTATTGTAGCTAGTTATTTCTAATAAATACGCCCTACGACCATCTTGAGCCTCTCAAAAGCCTGATTTTATACTCAAGGAGTCCGTGTTGCCTGTTTGTTCATTTACCTACTTTAAAACTTAAGATATTTCATTTTTGACTTTTTTTTTTCTCGTTAAGCCATGACAGGGATGACAATTGCCTTGTTTTTTGAGAATCTACTGAGTAAATTGCCATTGCTTGGATTAAAGATGTTGGATTCGGATGTGAAAGTGGAATAATCATTCATAGAGAATTAACAACTGTGAGGACTGGACGTTGGACCTGCTATATATTATTTACACAACTATTTCTGACTTTTCTTGGTGAACTCAAACAATGGGGATCAAGCTGAGAGTTATTCTGGGAATGTTTCAGTTCGTCTCACTTACCAGAATACCAACACAATGTGCCAAAACACAGGTAAGAACATGTTTTTAATTATAATGATAATAATATATTTGTTATTATTTAAAATATTAGACAGTAGCATTGCAGTGCCCCTACAGTACTTATTTTAAAGTGTGTAGCTAGTCTTCATGATAAAAAAAATCGTTAAGTCTTTAAGCTTAAATTTAATTAATTAAACTACTCTGGTCTGGCTGTCTTTTATCACACACTTGATAAGTATCTTTTAATTCCTCACTATTGCTTGTAAAATGCACTTTATAGAGCTGAGTTAATGCACAACACTCTTCTGGGCATTTTATGTGTTGAAATAACCTGACGGTCATTGACGTTTGGCAGGATGGGAAAGGTGCTGCTTTTAAAGATGTAATGCTCTGATAAAAGCCACCAATTAAGTTATCAGTAGACATATGTTTTGTGTTTAGTGTTGTCTGAGAACACATTAAAGCGAGTTGAGGGTGTCAAAGAGCACATCATGGGGGTGTGGCCTGTATTATAATATTAATACAATGTGGTGCATTAATAGTATATCAATATAATGTAATGCTAAAATATTTTAATATTTTAAAATATATATATTAATTAAATACATATTTAATATGCTTATTTTTATGTATTTTATTTTGTTTTTGGGTGTAAATAATATGTGCTTATTAAAAATCATTTTAATAGTTTTCAATCATTTTAATAGGCTAAAATATTTAAATAATATACATGTATTGTAGTATGTTTGTTTGTCCTAAAAACTTTATTTATTTATTTATTTTTGGGGGCTGGGTCTCAGAAGGATAGACAGTGACGCACGTCTTTTCTTTATCTTCACTTAAACAAGCTTTTGTCAACATTACAGCCATCAGGCCAGTATACGACACCTATTGTTAGCACCAATAGCGTTGCGAGATGACATAGTAGCCTATGAAGGCAGGATGGCAGAATGCACTGAATTTGCGCATCTCCGTTATTCTTAAGCGCAGCGGTATGTGGTCGGTGTACGTGTGAACGGAGCTCTGCTTTATGGATGCATATCATAAGTCTTCGTAATGATGCAGCTCCACTCATCGTTTGTCCTGTCGTGTTTAGCCGAAACTTGGTTTATTTATTTTAGACTGCAGTTTGGCTCTAGTATATTTAATTTGATGATGCTAAAGATGCTGTGAAATGTAAACCTTCCGAATGTTGCATTGCATTACATTGCATGCTGCCAGTCTTGGTGTAAGTGCCCCTCAAATTCATGGTAAGGTATGGCATGGTTTTCAGAATTCTAACCTTGTGACCTTTAGGTTTCTCTATGTCACCTGCACAGTGATGTTGTTGCTATTGCCAGGTGGGCAGTGATCAGGGTTGCCAGGTCCCAGACAAATTTTCTGCCCAAAGCTGATTTAAAACCCGCCCAAAAGGAATGATAACTACACTCGAAAAATTAACTTCAATAGTTTTCACTCAGAAATTTCTAGTAAATTTCACAAGTAGCTACAAAGAATAGCCAATAACAAGGGAATTAAGCATGACATTTTGAAATATAAAGACCAAAATAGCCTATATTTTCTTATAAAAGACTCCAATATTCTTAGTTTGCAATTAGCATTTTATTCCTCTTCTATTTTGGTACTTTTAAATCTTCCTGTGCTCTTTTGTTGAATTTTAATTTTCAACTGTTTTTTCTAGATACATTTCTTAAAATGTGAGTAACGAAAATGAATAACACTGTCACAATGTGATACTCTGAGATAGCCGTCCATAAAATGCTGTCAATCAATTAGTTTTTACATGCTGTCCGTTTACTTTCCCAGTTCTTTTAACTATTGTAGTTTGTACACATACAATAAACTCAACATTTTCTTCTAAACTCAGGACCATTATTAATAGCCCACATACTGTTTTCTTTTCATTCGCTCTTCTTTCCACAGTCACTCTTGTTTTGTCTTCACACGAGCATCATTGTGCAATTAATCCATAATGCCAAACTCAGTTAACCCACTTTAAAATCCAATTCCTGATGTGGGCGAAACTCACATAATCTCTAGATTGTGAGGTGACATCAAACATGCCCCCTTCATTTCTCCTTCTATTTGAGGTACTTAGGTTGCCAGATATTCATTTAAAGGATCAATACACATGAAGTAAAGATAGTAAAACATAGTATAGACTAAAAAGATCTATCTTCATTGTTCTTTGTCTACAGAAAAACTTTTTGCAGCTGCGGTTTATAAAAAACTAGGCCAAAAAACTTTCCCGCAACTGCATTTTCAAAATAGTGCGGAAAAACCGCAACTCTGGCAACACTGATGGTGATGTCTAGCATTTTCTGTTCGCAATCCAGCATGTGCAGTGCAGTCTGAGACCACTAGTGAAATACATCTGCTTGCTTTTTTTTCAAATAACATTATATGAGTGGATATTAAACAATATAGGTGAATTTTTTAGAACATCTTAGTATTTGGTTTGTCTCTTTTTGCTTTAATGACTGCAGTAATATAACTGACATGATCACAAAACCTGTTGATGGTGTTCTCCAGCATGATTTGAGATCATTCAAAGAGCATCTTGTGTTTCAATAGAAGAAAAAACCTTTTGTAGAAAGAATTTCTAATGCTTAGTGTCAGAAATTGGTTATATTCCATTAGTGACCTAGAAACACTTTGTAAAAAATTATTTCTGGAAGATAATTAAGTTAATTTGAAGTAAATTAAACAAGGATTGCTGGAGTATGTATAAAAAAATATTATCTCAATCTTTCTACTTTAGAATTTCACATTCAATTCAATGTGTTTCTTTCCATTTATGTGTAATCATTTACTAGCAATTTCTGGGTGAAAATGGTTTCAAAGTAACAAAACTACACCAATTTGTTTTTTCAGTGAGGTCCAGAATTTTACATCATAATTTTTCTCTAGTTTTAATTCTTGAATTTCTAAAACGTTCTGTTTATTTTCAGGTTTAAATGAAAAAAAAAAAAAAAAAAGATGATGTATGATGTGGTCTCAGACTTGGATCAGCTATAGCAGTGCCTGATACCTGCTGTTCATTTTGAAAACCTCAGTTCTTAAAGCTCGAGTCCATTCACAGATGCCAGACTGGCCCACGGGCCGCAGGTGGAGGGGATTGTGGGAGAGCGAGGCAGCAGAGCTGATGATTGGTGCTCAGACTCAAGGGCTCTTAGAAAGAAAGGGCTGACGCAGCCAAATCCAGCCAACTGCTGCTGCAAAAAAACCTGGCAGCGCTGTGATTTTCAGTGTGTGTGCATTTCAGAGAGAGAAAGTGAATGTTAATATGTGTGTGTGAAAGTGTGTGTGTGTGTGTGTGCCAGTCGCCTTGCCAGCTCTGAGCTGGCTGCTGTATTTCACAATGGCACCGAGGCAGGAGGTAGATGAGGAATTGACTGACTCAACCCTCATATTGCAACACAGAATCAGCAGACGCCTCTCCGCACGTCACTGCCATGCAATGATCTGCCTGTTTTCTGATTAATATTGCACTTAATTACATTAAACCTTTATTTGATGTCATCATTACAGAATAAATGCACAGAAACACAGGGTATAACTGAATGTGCTGGCCTATATCAGTGTAAAATCACCTATAATAAGATTGTCACGCATGCTTAGAAAAACTACCCACTCAGTAAGCAGTCAGACATGGTGCAAGGAAGCCATGTATGTGTGTGTTGTTTGCGCTGCAGTGCAAAGTCTGCTTTCTCCCTCAGCAGTGACCTTGTTCCAGTGCGCGGACCTCGCCGTATGAGGGGCGTGTTTGTGTGAACGTGTGCTAACATCCACTTTTATGCTGCTCTGACACAAATAAACACTAGAAATGCATTATAAGAAAATGTTTTCATCATTATGTTGACTGGAATCAGCTCTTCATGGCACCATAAAGAGTGTGTGCTTTTGTTATTGTCTTTGCTATATGTTGTGTCTGACACTTTGTCTGTGTCCTTTCCTCTAGTCAGACCACTGGATGCCAACAGAGAGCCATAAATCTGAAGAAGGTATTGAGCCTTGCTTTCTTTCGTTTGATTTAGTGAGGTTATATAATATATAATAAAACAGAGTATAATAAAATGACTCATTCTGGTCCTCAATTCTCATGGCAGAATACCTCTTTGGCAGCTACTGTGTCATTACATTGCACCCATAAAAGCCACCTACAGTAAAAGTTTGGGAAATTTTCTTTTGTTTTAAAGAAGTACTTTAATTCGGCAAGGATGCATTAAATCTGATTAAATCAAGAAATCAAAAGAAGAATGCTGAAAAAAATTATGATTTAAAGAAATATATTAAAGCAGCAGCACAGCTGTTTTTAACATTGATAATAATAAGAAATGTTTCTTGAGCAGCAAATCAGCATATTAGAATGATTTCTGAAGAATCATGTGTCACTGAAGACTAGAGAAAATTCCACTTTGCGTCACAGTATAAATTACATTTTAAAATATACTCAAATAGAAAACAGTTATTTTAAATTACAATATGTCACAATATTACTGTTGCATGTTAACCCGAGCAGCTGAGTCTTTAGCCATTTTCAAAAAACATCTAAAGACATCTTTTTCGCCATTACCTGACCAATTAATACTAGCACTTACCTATTCTATTCTATTCTATTCATTTTGGTCTAATTTATTTTTAAAAATCCTTGCTATGTGCACTGTGCTAGACTATCTGAGACTTGTCACAGCACTTGTATACTGTTGCTCTCTCGTTGGTCTGATTGCTTCTACTTTGTAAGTTGCTTTGGATAAAAGCTAAATGACTAAATGTAAATGTAAATGTTAACCTTGATTTCTGCAACTATTTATTTTATTGGAAGTCCACTGAAAGAATCAACATAATAACGTTACAATTTAATTAAAATTGTCTATAAAGCAATAAAGTCTTAAGCAATGCTATATTGTATAAAAAGATGTTTTGGAGAGTAAAAAAAAAGTTTTTTATGTTACATTACAGGTGCTTGAGATCAGTGAATTGGTTTCTTTAAGTACCAGTATATTGGTGCTATTTAAAGGAATGTTCCAGGTTAAATATAAATTAGGCTACACTCTATAAACAGCATCTGTGACATGCTGTCAATTACCGCAGGAAATAATTTAAACACTTTAGTTTGTAAAAGCAAAGAAATCTTCAATGACAATGCACTCACTGTACATTTGATGGTGTGCACCAAGATAAATGTTAAAAATGCATACTATTTTGAAAGTACAGCCTGAACTTTATACGTGTTCACATGAGACTGGTGCAAGAGAATCACTTACAAACATTTTGCAATATGTAATGTTTTACGCACAACCAGGCACAGATTGTTTACACTGAGATAAATCAACCAACAGGAATTCTGTTGATAACACATCTAACAGATATTGCTTCAATAATTTAGATCCTTGCATCAATATTTATGTCTATATAAATTTATGTGTAATGTGTAATCTATTTATGTACATGTATAATGTTGTTTTCAATTAATGAGGCAGGTTGTCTAATTAACCTTCCAGAATGCATCAATGTAAAGTTTATACAATAGCATGTCACAGATTCTGTGCTGAACCCGGAACGTTCTATAAAGAGAGAAGGGTTTTCTTTCTCGGTGTTATTCATTTATTCTCTTTCTCAGTGGTGAGATGGTTGGATGTGTATCAGAGAAGCGGATGTCATCCCAGAGAGACGCTGGTGGAAGTTTGGCGGGAGTTTCCGTGGGAGACACATCACCTCTTCCTGCCGTCGTGTGTAACGCTGCGCCGCTGTGGAGGCTGCTGCTCCGATGAGGCACTGGAGTGTGTGCCGTCACAAACACACACACTTGTAATGGAGGTACATTCACACACAAACCAATGCACTTAATGCAGAGTTCACACAGGTGCAGTTCCTCACCTTAATTATGGACGTGTTCCATAAACATTCGACATCCAGTATCTTTTTATTAATAAATTCCATTTGTTTTGATATTTAGTTATCTAATGCAGTGGTAAAAATGTGACTGAATTGTCCAAATACTTTTTAGGGACCTCTGTATATCATCACATACACCATTGTTCAAAAGTTTGGGGCTGGTAAGAATTTTTGATGTTTTTGAAATCTCATGTTCACAGAGGCTGCATTTATTTGATAAAAAAACATTATTACAATTTAAAATAACTATTTTCTATCTGAATATAACTTAAAATAGAATTTCCTGCAACCATTACTCCAGTTTTAAGTGTCACATGATCCTTCAGAAATCATTCTGATATGTTGATTTGCTGCTTAAGAAACATTTCTTATTATCAATGGTAAAAACAGTTGAGCTGCTTAATATTTTAAAAGCAATGTCCTCTCTAAAATCTTCCTGACACCAAACTTTTGAAAGGTTAATGTACAGTAAAATTCTCTCCATTTCACCACTCACAGAAACACTCATAGAAACCTTTCACACATACATTTACTATTTTACATTCACATGCTTAATGTGGTGGTATGCAACACTCATATTACACACTCACATGTATACGTCAATAATGACAGATTTTTAGGGGCAAAGTACCTCCACACACAAACACACCCCGTATAAATGCAAGATCTCAAACCACATGACTTAGTATGGTGAATAAAACATCCAGAAAGACACACACACACACAGAGGACACACAGCATGAGTTTGTCATACATATTCAGTGTGGGTAGATGAAGTCTCTAGTGTAATGGATCAGGTTGGATCCTGGTCACGTACTGTATAGACAGATTGAGGGATAAAAGATTAAGTCATTACTATGCGGAACAGATTGTGTATATGTGTGTGTGTGTGTGTGTGTGTGTGTATGCATGCATTTAAATGCTGACTCCTGCTCTGTTGAACTCCACAGCTCATGAGGACCTCATACATGAAGCATGAACTTGTGCAGCTGCCTTTTATTGAACATAACCAGTGTGAGTGCAGGTGAGATACATGCTCACACACATACACACAAACTGACCTAGCAATGTCAGTAAGGGTAACATACCATAGACTTATATTCCCTAGTAAAAAGTAATTTAAAATACATTTACTTCGTACCAAGTATAGTTCAAATCTATTAACATATTTACTGACATATCGCTCGAGACTTACTGATATAAAAAGTATTATTCAACTTTATTTGGAGTATCACTTGTGCACAATGCACATTTCTTAATATGAAGCCTAAAACGTGTTTAATATCACCATTGATGAGGATTGTATGATCTTTGAATAATATCGGTCTTTAAATGCAAGATATTTAAAGTGTACCTGAAATATACTTGCAATAGTTCCACTTTAGCACAGATATACTTCAGTATATCTTTAGTTGGACTTAAGCACTACTTCTGCACAATTAAAATGCATCAAGTACAAAATTAGTTGTTCCAATTTAGCATACTTTAAAGTATACCAGCTTAGTATACTAAATGTACAATTGCAGGATATTTTTATTAAGTACATAAATATGGAAATGTGTTTGTACACATAACATGAAATATATGTACTTGAAATACATTTTAGTGTATTTATTTTTTATTAGGGTTGCTTTAATATAAAGCGAATTGTTATGCATCACAGACTCTCTCAAACCCTATGGGGCAGTTCACATGATGCAACATCGAAGACTATGCATTTGAGCAGAAATTTGAAAACGGTAACGAACAGGAGAACATGTTCTGAGTGAAAGGCCCTTAACCCTAACTAAACAATTATTTCGCATTTGTAGAATAATAAAATCAATTATATGGAAATCCTTATAATTACTAAAAATGAGATTATAAAAACCTGAAAAGTTAAGAAAAAAGACTTTGAAATTGTTAGGTTTTTCTCTGGTTTTGACATCAAAACAAACATGTATAACGAGTAAAAAAATTTTGTCGTTTTTTGTTTTGTTTTTTTAAATACACCCTAACATTAAACACTTTGGGATTTTTATTTTTTTTTTAAATAGATTAATACTTTTATTCAGCTAGGATGCATTAAACTGATTAAGAGTGACAGTAATTTTTATGGTAAAAAAAAGTATTATTAAGCAGCACAACTGTTTTAAACATTGATAATAACAAGAAATGTTGCTTGAGCAGCAAATCAGCATATTAGAATGTTTTCTGAAGGATCATGTGACACTGAAGACTGGAGTAATGATGCTGTAAATTCAGCTTTGCGTCACAGGAATAAATTAGATTTTAAAACCTATAGAAAACCATTATTTTAAATTGTAATAACGTTTCTTAATATTACCATTTTTACTGTATCGTTTTATCAAATAAATGCAGCCTTGGTGAGCGTAAGAGACTTTTCAAAAGCATTTTAGAAAATCTTATTGACCCCAAACGGTAGTGAAACAGAGCGAAATTGTAAATCAAAAATCATTGAATGATAAGAGCACAGCTTACACAACTTTATTCATTGTCAGGTTATTAAGCATAATTATTAGATTTACTATATTTCTGAACCATTTTACCCTTGAAAACTCTCAGAATGAAGGTTGTCACATTTTGCCAGCTTGTAGGGGGAATTTTTTCCCCTAAGAATAGCTAAGTGAACCCACCCACACACACCCCAATCCAAAGCCTATCTGACTTTCAGATCACCCCTCACACACACAAATGCACTTCCACCCTGTATGTCACATGGGGAATGACCCCATCTCCCCATGGACTACTTCCTGAACCCAGTCACAGAAAGTAGTCACCCCCGAAACACTCTTCTGTTGGCGCGTAGCCGAGCTGTCAACATCAGCTCTTTATCGGCTCATTGTGAGGTTCTCCTCAAAAGCCTTTTCAGAGGTTGTGGGGTTCGGATTAAGGCCAGGGGTGGAGCCGAGTGTTCGGTAAGAGCATTTACATGCGCTCGCCTCTCGATCCTTTCTTTGTAATACTGATCTGCCCCGTACAAACTGAACTCACCACTGTTGACCAACCCTGAGTTACTTAAACACCCACGCTAAACCACACAGGCAACCAGCCAACATTATTAACTGCGTCCAGTCTGAGGCTCACGTTATCATGCGATAAAACATTTATCTTACTCATAATGTTTACACTCTCACATGCTAGAACCATTATCTTGACAAATAAATAAATAAATAAATAAAAAGATGCAGTATAAAGTTCTTATGCTTTTATTTCCTCCACAATGATTCCATTAAAGTTCAAGAAATGATGAGCACATAAGTGCCAACAATTACTTTATTTCCATGAGTGTGTGTGTGTGTGTGTGTGTGTGTGTGTGTGTGTGTAGTCTGAAACAAGCATATAATAACAAAATTAGAATAAATTCATTAAACTCAGTAAATTCATACAATGCAAGGTAGCAAACAAACTTCCAACAACAGTCAGCATCACGTGAATATATGAACAAATGAATCACTAATTCTATACAAGTACCTTTAAACAATGAATATCAATCGAACAGAATATAAATTCAGAAAGGTCGCAGTTAACATGAGCTGAAGTAAATAAATTAACTTGGTGCATATAATATGCACACAACACCAAACATGAAACAAGCATCAAGTCCTTATTCTTTCACCCACTCCATGCGGGTCTATTTCTACAAGACGCTAATCACCGCCACCTGCTGGAAATAGGCGGAGCGTAGCGTCTTTACGTTACTGTGTTGACAGCGCAATCAAACACTGGCTGATCACCAGAACACTTCAAAATAAAAGTGCATTTATGTTGGGCCTTTTTAACAGCCGCCCCCAGATTTCTAAAGAATGAGGAAATCTGTACATTATGAAAAGGCCAAAGTCAAAATTTCAGTCTGGTATCACAGGTAGCTGTACAACCTTTGCCACAGGTCGCACATAAGACTTGTCTTTAACTTTTACTCAACAGTCCTGATTCCTGATATTGTCCACCCCACAGAATACTTGAGAGATCTGACCAATAGGCCATAGGGCCCTGGGAAAGTAATGGGTCCACAATCATAACAGTAGGGTGACCATACGTGCCATTTTCCCAGGACGCGTCCTGGCCAGGATTTGTTTTGGCTTTGTTTTCCTGTTTTCATGCTTGCTGAAGCTAATGATCGAAAATTAGTTTGACCAATAACATGCAAGCATTGTACATAATGGACCAATCATGGCGTGTGAGAAGGTGGGATTTACGGTCAAAGCGATGCAATTACGCGTACATATTAGGTGTTTTCGACTTAAAAGCAGTGCGGCTCAGACCGATCAGTGTTTGACATCAAAGTACCTCGAGAGCGTTTCGAAAGCATAACCGTCTGTATGGTACTTTGATGTCATACACCGATCGGTCTGCACACGCAAACAAAGCCAAAACCTAGATATTTTAGGCAATATAGAAATCCTGGCCAGGACGCGTCCTGGGAAAATGGCACGTATGGTCACCCTACATAACAGTAGTTCCCACCTTAATATTGGGTGACTCTCGCTGCCACTTGCTGCGAGTCTGAAGTCCAGGCAAATAGAACTTGATAAACCGCTTCCAAAAGTGATCTGCTATGATTTGGCTATGACGCCAACGACGTCGACTCAATAGTTTACTTTGAGGGTATATCACTTGAGGAAGGGATGAATCAGGTCGCCGAGGAGCGAATTGTATACCCCAGGGGTTTAGGATTTAGGATCCCTTCAATCTCAATGAGCACAGTGTGAAGATTTCCTCAGGGATCTTTGGGTTCTTTTGAAACTTCTGACACACTGGACAATCTTTGTGCTGATAGCATCAGATTGCTTTCCTACACCGAAGGATCCAGTATTTCCTACCTATCTCTGCCAGTATCAGGACCTGGGTGGAGTAGCTTTGTGTCATAGTCCTTAAAGGGTTAGTTCACACAAAAATGAAAATTAGTCCATAAATTACTCACCCTCAAGTCATCCTAGGTGTATATGACTTTCTTCTTTCAGACGAATCCAGTCGGAGTTTTATATAAAAATTGTCTTTGATCTTTCAAGGTGTTTAATGGCACTCAGCGGGTGTTGCAGTGCATCAGTCCAAAAGAAGT